TAGGATCAAGTTCATGGAAAGTGCTGGTTGTGTTGCTAATCTGTCTACACATAAGGTTAATTGTATCACCCTTGGTTGTGTTGCTAATCTGTCTACACATAAGGTTAATTGTATCACCCTTTAAAATTACTTACTAGCATTGTACTTGAATTGCAACGACTTAGTCAAGGAGTATCCCCTTTCTCTGGAGTTCATTGGAGAGCAGGCATTCGACCTGGGAGGTGTGTCAAGAGATGTGATGTCTACCTTTTGGCAGACTACATAGAGAAAGCTTTTAGATGGCAGTAAGCTATTTGTGCCTGTTGTAAGTCCACATGTTGAATTCTCATTGTTACCAGCTCTTGCAAAAATACTATCGCATGGCTATCCGTGCACAGGTTTTTTCACTAACACAAATTGCTTTCCCTTCACTTGCTGCTATGTTAGCAGGGCCTGGTGTTGTAATTTGAGGTAATATTCTTGTTGAGTCGTTCCTTGACTGTGGAAGTGACATGGATCGCAGGGTCTTACATGCATCAGTACTGATTGCTACGCATACTTCTAAATGTTCCTTTCCACATGTTCAGGAATAGCTACTCACATACTCACAGTACTTAGCAATTATGGTTGTCGGCAAATTCCATCACCTATGTCCTATGTCACCTATGTCAAATTGTGACTGACATAGCTCGTATCTTATTTCTGACAACTCCAATGTCAGCACTATGTATGATCAATTCTGGCATCCCATCGTTGCATCTACCCTTTAGGTCTACAATATCTCTACCGGACTTGTATCATATTAATTAAACTCTAACTGCCACACCTGCAAAAGTTTTGAATCTTCTAGAGGATCCCTACTGCCTAAACAAGGCTCAAAGAATAGTGTTTGGCTATGTGCAACAATTTATTGAAAGTACGACTTTTGAAGAAGTTTGTGTGTTTCTAAGATTTGTTACAGCCAGTTCTGTATGTACGGCTAAGAAGATTGAAGTAACCTACAGTACATTTTCTGCAGCTGCACAAAGACCAATAGCCCCATATTTGCAGTAACATGCTGGAGCTTCCAGCTACTTATCAATTCTATCCAGAATTTGTTAAGGAATTGAATTTGGTCTTATCTGATGACACATATACATGAATTATGGATTCTCTGTAACTTTTTGGACCACAATTATTGATACTATTATTAGTTAAAGTTGTTTAATCACTTGTTGGGCATACATATATCAATGCTTCCATTTTCTGTTGCATTTTAATCATCTTATTAAAAATTAACAACAAATCCTTATTCTTCACTTAGTTTAAACATGGACAATGGTTTTTTAAAAAGTTAACTGTTTCTTCATAAAAGTTAATTCCATAATAATCTGTCTGCCTTGTAAGGTCAATAGATTGCCAGAATCGTGCATACTCATTTTCTGAAATGTTAATTCTTGTATCTGGTACTTCTAAGGCTTATTATAAATAATATTCAATGTTATTATAGTATACATGCATGCCTCATGATCATCATCAATATTAGGTAAGTCACAGTTTTTTATCCCATACTCATCATCTACATTAGAAAAATATCCATAGCCTCCAAGCCACTATTCCTAAGATGCAAACAACCAGCATTGAAGTTGAAGAGTTGCAATGGTGTATGGTTTCTCTCTCTGTGTGCAGACCATGCATGTTCCAGCCATCTTTAAATGGTAGTAAAGACTTATTTATTATTTCAAGGAATACATGGTGAAGAGCAAAGAAATGAAGTTATTTACTGGATTTAACTCTCTTCTCTTCCAATAAGGAAAACAGCCTATAGTACAACTGTGTAACGCATTGGTGCATATCTCTCCAGATTCATTCTATCCTTTGATTATGGACTGAACTACCCGCTATGATACTGCCTGTTCCGTGGCCATGATGTTGTAACTGAAACTGGGCCACCCATGTATTGTCAAGACCTTGATCAGTCCTAACCCTTGAAGGAATACCATATTTTCTAACAGCTTCAGTAAAACAACTCAGAACAGTAGAGGACTTGTTATTTGTGGAACATTTTATGAAAACAATTAGGCGACTATATCTGTCAATGCCACAATGTGTGACAAACCTCAATTGTACTGCTTGTGGTGCCCATCCTCATATAAAAAGTTTTAAATAAATTTCTTTAAAACATAGTTAACAGATTTAATGATAATAAAAATTAATGTGCAATTCATTATATTTACCTAAATGCCATAAAGAGTTTGGTCCAGGTACTGAGTAAGGTCGGCGATAAGTGGTATTCTGACGCCACCGAAGTGCAATGTGAAGGGGGTCAATTCTTCTATTGACTTATCGTACTCTATCCCGTGACATGATGACACCCATTGCTCTTAAATGTTCCATAAACATAGTTTTGCCACAATAAGGAGTGCCATGACGTAACTGTTCAAGAAGCCCTGTCAATTCTGCATCGCTAACAGCTCTGTTAGGGGTTTCTAATAAACAATAACCTCTCTTTGTCGATATCACGTCATACGTGACACACGAAGTAGTTCACTGATTTTAGTACAGGAAAAGTTCAATGATCGCAAATACACTATCTGAGTCCTTTCCACAAAAAATTTTGGACAACCTCTGCCAGGACCATTAATGAGTTGAGCTTCATATCTGATTGCCACAGATGTTGAACCTAACTGATCCAAATATGTATCCCAGTAACACAGGAGAGATAATATACAAGTGAAAAGTTCATCAGTCATTCGTTTGTACCTTTGCAAAATCTCTTCTTCGTCAGGTTCAAGTTCAATTTCATGCTCACAAGCAATACAAAGCCTCTTGTTGATTATTGTCACACTTGTAAATCCATGCTTTAGTTTCTCTATGGCATAATTCACATATGTTTCATTACCCACTCCAATCTGATTCTGATAAGAGTCAAAAAGACTGCTTAATTTTGAGAAGAAATTACAGCAGCTAGAGTCCATAATGAAACAAAACAGTAAACCAGTCTCTTATAAGTACACCCATACCCATTCCTGCTTACGAAGTGACGTTCTAAGCTTACAATGTGATATAAGCTTAGAATGTGACATCATAGTTTGGGAATTTTGTTACAGTGTACTATACACGTGCCATAGAAACCAATGGAGAAATAAAGCAGGCATGGTCTTGAAGCAACTAAGACAGGGAGCGTGTTTTCTCCCATTTCTCTGTCTCGAGCAAGCCTAAAGCCTACAGGATACCTGAAGTAGGACCTGCAGAAGGCATTCATAAAGTCAAACTGTCGTGTTTTTGTACTTTTAAGCCTTCTTGACCATGCAAAGCAATGCAGAACAGAAGTGGGTGTGGTCTCGAGGTGGTGATACTAGTCTCTATTTCTTTTTTTATTTTCTTGTGAAATATTGAAAGTTCTAATTTATTGCTTGACCTTGTCTAGACACTTGCTCTATTGTTTGCTGTCATAATTACTGTTCATTATTGTTGTTTTATATTTCTGATAAAGTTCATAATACCCAATTTACACTGCACGTTTTTAATCTAACGTCAACAGAACTAGGTTTAGTCCTTCTATTTAGCCCCTGTTTACACTATAACTATCATACAAAGTTTTTTGGGCGGAGAAATTATCATTAATAGTTAATTCAGTAAGATAAAATGGAGGTTCAACTCATGAAACTGATCCTGATGAAAAAGCAAGCTTATCGTTATTCTACCGTCCGATATTCTTTTCTGAAGAGGTTAGGAAGGTTTTGATTGATGCAAAAGAGGAAGAAATCAATTTTTCTGATCTTAATACTAGTAACAACACTGTCATCTCAACTTCATGTAGAAAGATCTTTGTGGGTGAAAGAAAGGCAGTCTAACTTTTGGCAATACATTCTGAATCGTACTTTCAATAATAAGGACTGGTATAAAAACTTCAGAATGAGAAAAGAGACTTTTATGTACTTATGTAAAGAATTGGATAAAGAAGTGCGTAAAAAAGATACTCACCTTCGTTGTGCCATCACTGTTGAGTTAAGAGTTGCAATTATAATCTGGTTTCTCTCTACTGGTACACCGTACAGAGTTCTGGCACATTTATTTGGTGTATCCAGATCATCTATTTGTCTTATTATCAGGCAAGTATGTACTGCAATTGTTAAAGTTTTAATGAGGAAGTACATCAAATATCCATCAGGAAGTGCTCTTATTTCTGTAATAGATGGTTTTAAGGCTAAGTGTGGGTTTCCTAATTGTGGAGGTGCAATAGATGGTAGTCATATACCCATCTCTTCACCTGTGGAATTTCATAGTGATTACTACAACAGAAAAGGATGGTACCCAATGATAATTCAGGCAGTAGCTGACCATAATGATCGTTTTCTGAACATTTATATTGGTTGGCCTGGTAGTGTCCACGATGCACATGTTTTTGTTAACTCTCCCATTTATAATAAAGGGATGGATGGAAATTTATTTAATGGCCTAACAAGGAATGTTTGTAATACAAATCTGCCAATAACTTTACTTGGTGACTCTGCATATCCCTTGCTTCCATGTCTGACGAAACCATTTCCCCACAATTGTTTCTTAACACTGGAACAGCAACAGTATAATTACAACTTATCAAAGGCATGTATTGTTATAGAAAACGCATTTGGGAGACTAAAGTTTAGGTGGAGATGTTTGATGAAGCGTCTCGATTTAAAACCTGAAAATTCAGTTTCTATTATATCAGCTAGTTGCATATTACACAATGTATGTGAAGTACATGGTGATGATTTGACCCCGCTTGGATGATAATGTTTCTGATTCTATCTTCCCTCATCCTCATGAGATGACAAGTATTGCTGTTACACAAGCACCACAATCAGATCTAAGCAAAATGGAAGCATCTGTTATTCGTGACACGCTAGTTAGTTATTTCAAGTCATAATTACTAATTGATGGTTAAACATTTTGACTAAATAAAAATTTTGATTAAAGATTAAATAAAAAATTTGATTAAACGAACATTTTGATTAAATAGCAATTGATTGAATAGGTTATGTTTTTTTTAGTAATAATTAGTTGTTACCATTGAATGCCGAAAAGTCCATACATGTATTATTGTTAGGAGGAGCAAATGGAAAACTTCCCCTTGTAGAATGCTGCAACATTTGCCACATGTTCATATCATGATATCTCTCCCTTTGCAACCTCTTCTCTTCCATTTCTATTCTTTTCTTCTCCATTTCCATCTCCATCATCATCTGCTTCTCTTCTAACTCAAGAAACTTAGATTCCAACTCCCTTTGGCCATCCATAAATTTGCCAATAACTAGCTCCAAACTTTTTTCTAGCTTCGTTGCAGGTTTTCGACGTTTCGCTGTAGAATTATTCTGGTCACATCTATGCTTCATGATGACACTTGAGGTATCAGACACTGATGACGATGGACTACTAATATTACCTATAGCACCTGGCTCAACAGGATTGTCAGTCTGTGATTCATCGCTTTCATCTAATGGTTCTTCAGTGTCTCCTTCACAAAGTTCGTCTTCATTTGTTACAATACCTTGTTCAGAGCTTATAGATATTGAAGGGCTGGTAGCTGGTTTGACACTAAGAATAGCATCAAGCTCCTCAAAAAACTTGCATGTTTTACGTTTAATCCCAGTAACGTTATTTTTGTCCTTTACTTTTCTATAGTCCTTCTTCAACTTCTTTATTTTATCACGACACTGACCAGTTGTCCTCTTGTAGCCACTATTGTTTAAAGATTTGCTTATTTTCTCAAAAACCAACTTATTTCTGGGACCTTCAAGTTCTTCTTGTATTATATCATCAGACCAAAGACAGATTAATTCTACAGTTTCTTCAACAGTCCAATTCTTCCTCAGTTGAATAGGTTCATTAAGTCTCTCTGCCATTTTAAAATAGGAGGGGTTTTAATCACATGTCTCAAGTTATTAAGGTTAATACCCATGTTTGCATATCGCGTTTACACATCAATTTTTAACCCAGGCTAAATGTTTCAATAGGGCTCTTTATCAGGGCCAGTATTAGTCCGGGTCAATTGATATACCCCAGTTTAGATTGCGTTTACACAGAATTTGTAACCCAGGGTCAGACGTAAACTAAGCCTAAATTTGGTAGTGTAAACAGGGTATAAGATACATTACTAGTCTTGTGCAGCCAGACCATTCCCCAGCCTACAGACATTTGAATGGACGGTGGGGAAGGGTCAGGTAGATTGAATTGGTTCGACTAGTTCAAAGGATAACTGTGAAATGGTTGATGAAAATTAACTCTGGTGGACAGGGTTGATATTTCTTTAAATAACTGCATGAGCAGTAGTTTGCAATGTTGCGATAGCAGCTACATACATTTGCTAAAAGATGAAGATAGTAACCAAAAATGAGAAATGCATTTTGTTATGGGACAGAGGCACACTTAAAGTATTTGTACGGTTCCAAACCATTCCATAAGTCACCATTTTAGTAATAATGCTGTAATGTAGCTTAGAAATTTTATCACAAATATAAAGCAGCAATAATGAACAGTAATTATGACATTAAACAATAGAGCAAGTGTGTATATACAATGTCTAGCAATGAATTAGAGCTTTCCTCATTTAACAAGTGAAGGAAATAAGAAAGATAGCCTAGTATAACTACATCGATACCACGCCCACTTTTCATCTCTATTGCTTTGCATGGTCAATAAGGCTTAAAAACACAAAAGCATGATGGTTTGACATTATGAATGCCTTCTTCAAGTCCTACTCCATGTATCCTGTAGGTTGTTGGCTTGTTCTCTTGATAGAGACAGAGAAATGGAAAAAAACGCACTCCCTATTTGAGTTGCTTTGAGACCACGCCCACTTAATGTCTCCATTGGTTTCTATGGCAGGTGGTAGGCAAAACTGTTTCCCTTCTTTCAAGGCACTTCACATACTTTTAGCTACTTGTGATACCTTTTTGGACTCCTCGTACATTGAAGAGTAAGAATATGTTTGCTATTTTTTGAGCACTTTGTGTATGAGTTGCGCAGCAAGCCCTGTTTGTAGCCTAAATATATGATGATGGTTACTGCCTGTGTAACGTAGTAGAGTGACAAGCCAGCAGCTTGTAACTATAGTAACTGTAAGAAGGTTAGAAAGAGACTAGAAACTCTCTACTTTGCCCGTAAAACCAGTTTTAAAACATTTATACACATAACAAAGCATGCACGACTATAGTCGCTCATATGCAATTATTAATGTTGTGGGTGCAGACTATAGTCGTGAGTTTGCGTCAAAAAGTTAATCGTCAGAATTTGTCTATCATAAATAATAATAATAATAGTTAAATAATATTAATAATTGTATACTGATATATAACAATGGCAACTGATAGTTTGATGCCTACAATTCTTAAAGTTGGCACTAATCTCGCCTTCCTTTTGAAAGGGAAACAGATAGAAGCAATCAATGCCTTGTCAGTGGGAAAGATGTGTTCGTCTCTTTACCACGGGCTGTGGGAAGTCCATTATATATGCTTCATTACCATCAGTTTTGGATATCATAAAAGGTATGCAGGCAATTGGGACAATCAGTGTATCTTTAATGGAAGAGAGGCTCAATAGTTGTTTGTGTGAGTCCACTTACCTCATTGATGATGGACCGGAGTACCAAATTTACACCAAGGGGTATTGAAACAGAATTTGTTGGAGGAGACCAACATGATGACGATGCCATAAAAAGAGTGTTACAAGAGAAAGTTTAGCTTGTAGTTTGCTCTTAGGCTTTTTATGAGATTCAATCGTGGATTCCATCACAGAGTCGATCAACGTACATATACACACGTGTAAAAATCACTTACTCGAATTGGCCAATTTTAAATATTTCTCTTTAATTGATAATAATGACTATTTTTGTTACTATTATTCTAAAATGTCTTTCCACTACAACAACAGAGCATCATGAATAATTTATTATGTATGTAGCATTAAAGATTTCTTTTGAAGGCCACTAGCATGATAATTAATTGCATTAATGCACTTTGTCCACAATGTTTTAAACTTCACTGTATTATCTGAATAAAGAGTTAGCATCTTTTGCTTTAAGGCATCAACTTTTTCTACTGGTAATCACTTATTACCTGTAAGTCCATACACTGTGCATTGTTTTAACACTTCTGTGCCAAAGTAAGATTCGACAGCTAATCTAACAGCTAGTCTTCCTGCATTTCTGTACTTGGGATATTTACGAACTACAACATCTGGGTCTAGCACTAATGGCTCTTGAAATACTGGCGACTGACCTTGTAATGACATCTAATTACATACAGGTGGAGCAAGCGGTGGTGGAGAATCTGACAAGGGTGGAGCTCCTGATGGAGTAATAACTGGCTGATGAATTAAAAGGACTGAGTAGTCAATTGTTGTACCAAAGTGAGAGATTGCTGAACAGGAGTAATTGACTGGTGAACAGGAGTTACTGGCTGGTGAACAGGAGTGACTGGCTGGTGAACAGGAGTGACTGGCTGCTGAACAGGAGTGACTGGCTGCTGAACAGGAGTGATTGGCTGCTGAATAGGAGTGACTGGCTGGTGAACAGGAGTGATTGGCTGCTGAACAGGAGCGACTGGCTGGTGAACAGGAGTGACTGGCTGCTGAACAAGAGCAACTGGCTGGTGAACAGGAGTGACTGGCTGGTTAACAGGAGTGACTGGCTGGTGAACTGGAGCGACTGGCTGGTGAACAGGAGTGATTGGCTGCTAAGCAGGAGTGACTGGTTGCTGAACAGGAGCGACTGGTTGCTGAACAGGAGTGACTGGTTGCTGAACAGGAGCGACTGGCTGCTAAACAGGAGTGATTGGCTGCTGAATAGGAGCGACTGGCTGGTGAACTGGAGTGATTGGCTGCTGAACAGGAGCGACTGGCTGGTGAACATGAGTGATTGGCTGCTGAACAAGAGCAACTGGCTGGTGAACAGGAGTGACTGGCTGGTTAACAGGAGTGCTTGGCTGGTGAACTGGAGCGACTGGCTGGTGAACAGGAGTGATTGGCTGCTGAGCAGGAGTGACTGGTTGCTGAACAGGAGTGACTGCTTGCGGAACAGGAGCGACTGGCTGCTGAACAGGAGTGATTGGCTGCTGAACAGGAGCGACTGGCTGGTGAAGAGGAGTCACTGGCAAATCAATATCTGGCGGAGGTGAATTCATATAATGTCGAACAGAATGTCAAGTAACTGGCATCAATTGATGCTGGGTCTCACGACTCTGTTAATAGATGTGATACATGTCAAGTAAACATGTACTTACAATTTTCCCAAATAAGTGTGTGGCTATGTTTCAGTTCTGTGACATTAAAAAAGAGTACTGGTTCTCGAACTTCTCAACTCTACATGCTAAGGAATTTAAATGCTTCTACATGTATAGAAATAATCACAAATAATCATGTTGTTTTTGAAAAAAGAAATTTTACCCTGGCCAAAGCTTGAACAAGTAGAAGGTGCTTCTAATATTCCATCAGGATTAAAACCTGTACTGCAAGGTGATACGTAATCCGTAGCAGTGGATATAACAGGTGTTACAGTAGGCGGGCACATGTTATTTGATGGCAAAGAAGAATTAGCTGATGAAAGAACAAAAGAAGTTTCAGTACTTTGTTTGGTACCAGAAAGTACTAACGAAGATACAGCATCGATTTTGAATGTTTCCTCTGAGTGTATAATAGGAATAATAATGCAATATTAACACTAGCTCACTTTTATTTTTCCTTTGCTTCTGTGGTTCTGTTTTCTTCTTTTCTTGCTTCTTGAAATTTGTAGATTAAAGTATAAGTTTAACAAATGGTAATCACTTTACTTTGTTTTAAACTTACGATCAGCTTTCTTCTTTCGTTTTTTAGGAGGTGGCTTACTAACCACTGGCTCTTCATTTTCTTTAAAACTATCCCCGCTATCATCATCCCACACTCCCTCTAGAAAGTCTGGAGTATATACGCCAGCAAGAAATTGGCCTTCTACATTCATACAGTCATCTTTACTACCTATAGTAATATAAAAGCTTAGTATACTCTATGGCACTAAACTAGGCTATACCATATGTGACAATATTCCTTTGTACAACTTGCTCTTCTCTGTCACATCACAATTTAGCCACATCTCTGTCCATGTTTTCTTCTGTGATTGCATTCCCACTGATCACTGACAGTCTTATCGACCATGAAGTAAACCATGTAGAAAGGAGCTACATCGAATCAGTAGAGTGAAGTAGTAACCCAGGCTTGCGCAAAGCCATAGTCACTTACAATTTCTATCATTAGACATTTGCTGTCTTAGGCTCATCTTGCAAAGTTAAATGTATGAGTAAAGAATAAAATCACCGCTTCCTTGACTTCCTGATGGCTGCTACGCGTCTTCTACCCTTCTCTTTAGACAGTAGACAACACCGCGCGGGCTAAGGTGGCAACGACACCCATACCACGACCAAATTGATCTTCGTTACTGTACTCTCTAATTGCACAACGATGCATCACAAGGGAAGGGTACTAACTACTCTAATAAGCACATTTCCAAGAGTAGAAGTAGCAAAGATACCGCGCAGCTACTTAGCCAATTTAAACAAAAAAACTTAGAATAAATTTTATTAGAAAATTGCAGAAGGAATGACATTCTCAACAATCCATTCAGTCACACTGTCATAATCAGTTTTTTCAAGCAAGCAATTTGTGTACGAAAATTTCTTGTACGATGTATTTCTTTGGTTGCAAAATATCTCACATTCAGTCAGCTGATGAAGCACTTGCTTAAAATCTTTATCATGAGGAGTTGAGTGCTTTGTCGAATCTGCACTGACACCTAACAATTTATTAAAAGCCCCACAGATGTCGTCAACTATACCATATGCTCTCTGCATTGTTGATTGTTTCACATTAGATTGAAGTTGCCTCATTGTCTTCTTTAAACGACCGTTTAAATGTTCTAAGTACAAATCACAAGGTATATTACAACCTTGTCTGTCCTTGGTATTTACAAATTGTCCAGTAATGATCTGAGCTGCGACTTTCTGAAACTATAAAATGAACTTTCATGAATAATTTTGCTGCCTCTTTTGCATATTTTCTATGCCCTGTTTTTTTCTACAGCAATAAAAAAATGTTTTGTGACGATCTCCTTCTCGTATAGCATCATAATAATTAGCCCAAAACAAACCAAGTGTAGTTATTTCGCATCCATAAATGTGTACTCCATCTACATGAACATTATTATTAGTCTCTAGACGCACATGATTTTCAATGATCAACTTAACCTCAACAGGGCAGTTGTCACTTAGTACCTAATTTTCAGCAGCTGAAACAATGTGCTATTCAAGAATCAGTCTAAAAAATATGCAGCTTGCATTTTTTTTTGTGGGTCCTGTGGTACAGATGTGCGATTAATAAGAATTTTCAACTGTGCCAGTGTCCCTTTATCTACAGTTGAATTTACTTTGTACAAACTGGTCCATATCACCTTAAAATGCAAAAAGTACATGTATCTTAATAACTTGACAAAGGACCAACTTACTTTCATAAATGTTAATCAAGCATGCCAATCCTGTAGCAGTGGTAAGAAACCCTGTAATTGATCTTCCAGATCATCATGCCCACGACGTATGTTTGTTGCTCCTCGAGCACATGCAACTGTTAGCTGATTACCTCCAAACATAGTAATCCATGGGTCTAATCTGCATACTTCTTGTGACTCACCACTGGGTAAACTCATATTTTCGATTCTTCCTAGTTTGGGAAAATAACTGTAGTGCCTCTCAATTATGTTACACATCTCATCAACTTCATTGTCATTATATAAATACCTGGTGATAATTACGTGGTCTATGAGTGTAATGTTTAAAATGGTTACATAATCTGTAAAACTAACCAGGTCAGATTTCATTTTCATTTCGTGTGAGTATTGGTGAAATATGTGCCATGTTGCAGTCGGTGCAGCAGATTTAAACTTATTCATATGAGTAACAAATATTCTAATAACAGAATTTTAAAGAGCGTGATATGCATTAAACATTGATATCCCTTGATATCAAAGTGACAAAAGTATACTTTAATTGTTCAATATCATTGTCTGATGGTAACAACTGACGTACATCAATTTGTCCGGATGGAGGTGATTCAAACAGGCTGCCTTGATCCACTCTCTCCTTTACAGCAAATCAATGAATAAAATTAGACATGGTAGAGTAGTCTATTCTCTGAAAAGTCCGTCAAAAGTTTTACATTAATGGTATCACTCCACTCACTAAAATGAATCTGTTATGACACAAATAATATAAAGTTTCGTTGCATGTCATGTTACCATTGTCACTGACTCTCAGATCTGTTATCATAATGTCTTCATTATCAGCTTTATTCTTCATACCTAAATTATATATGAAATACAATTGTCCATATAACCGTCAAACCCACCACCATCATCATCCTCAATGTCATCCTCAAACACAACATCATTATCATTATCAATGTCATCATCATTTACTTCGGTTACATCATTATTTATAAGAGACTCTTCATTGCTGCATCCCTTTTCTTTCTCACTTTTGCCACAACATTCAGCATCACTCCTGTACACAATCGTATATCACATTATTGCACTCATCATCTTACTGAACTTCTTCCTCATTCTCAAATGCATCATCTTGAGCCTTATCCGTACAGCTATTGTCATTTGAAACAACACCTTCCCAACTAAAATATTTGGCCCTTCACATGACTCATGAAGAATGGAGTCTTGGTTTCAGGAACTAATCTTATTTTCTAGCCTAATTGTGCGACACACCTGCTCCAAAAATCTGTGCAATGTGTGACTTGATGTGGCCATGGAGGATGCCAAAGAATTATAATTCCCACGTGCCAGCCGTTTCTCATTTTTTTGAAAATGGAGACACCACTTTGAACAACTTAGTGCAAGACGGATATTGATAATTTACCTAAATTTATGTTTTCGTAATTTTTATACAGAATTATTGTGTGCTCACTTACAGAAACAATATCGTCCTTTTCATCTTCAGATCTTCATGGGTGTAAGCTGGACAGTTGGCTCCACATTCCTATCTATTGTTGCCATGCTCTGAGGCTGATACTTTACCATCATCAAACTACTAACAAGGCAATTTAATTCATCTATAACTTCATCCAACTTCTTTCTTAAACTACCCAACACTTCTGCTTTATTTTTACACTCATAACATAAGAAGTCATCTAGTCCAAACACAGACGACACTTTCCCATTTAATTTAGACTTTGACAGTTCATCTAATATTCTTAATGGCACTTTGCAAGCTGCTCTATGAATTCTTCTTGTTTTATACTCAACATAGACCCACTATTAAGGTCACATTTACAAGAAAGACACCATGTGCAAGTTACAGACGTCATTTTAACTTTATTAAGTATTAATAATAATTTTCAATCAAGGATAATTAATCTAATATCAATAAATATGTAGAATGACGCTCAATATCCTTTGAACAAGTGGATCCAAGTCAATCTTACCCGCCATCCATTCAAATGACTGTAGGCAGGGGAATGGTCTGGCTGCGCGAGACTAATACATTACTGCATGATTACTGACATGGTCAATTGTGCAACAATGGTTTGTAACTGTACAAATACTTCAAGTGTCCCTTTGTCCCATAACAAAATTCATCTGTCATTTTCGCTTGCTATTTTCATGTTATAGCACTTGTATGTAGCTGTTATCCCAACATTGCAAACTACTACCCATGCAGTAAATTATATAATTATTAACCCTGTCCACCAAAGAGTAAAATATTGTGAGATTCCAAATTGTCTGATGTATGTTGTTATAGGTAATGATTGAAGGTTACATGTATATTTGTTTGATGGTTATGTCATTATAAGCATGGCCAGAGTAAGTACTCTCACTATAAGTTATTGTTTGCCAGTGCAACTTTCGTTGATGATTGTTAATTTATTGTGACAATATGTGACCATAATTGACAAAAGGTACCTTATGGCGGGTAGTGAAATTTGTCTTTATAGCCAAAAAAATCCAACTTCCTGAGCTCCATTTATCATAAAATTACTCCACAAGATGCAAAAAGTTACTATGTAACTTTTAGAAACAATGGTTGTTGAACAGAGCACTCACAGGTTGCTATTTTTCATTATAATGATGAATTTTAAAATCCGCCTTAAGGTACCTTTTGTCAATTATGGTCACATATTATGTGCACTTATGTTCTCATTAACAAACAACAATTGTTTGCAATTGGAAAGTATTCATGTGTTCTATTTATACGCATTTGCACAATGCAAGTGTTATTAAGTAATCTTAATTCAGGTTGGCATTAGTAAGCAAATTAAAAGATCTGTTTGTATTTTTTAAATAAATTATGAATGACAGCACTGAGCAGGTTTATGTATGTAATCAGTATGTCCTTAATAAAGGCCATATAGGTATTATTTATTTCTTAAATCATCCATTATGAGAATGTGTATTTTCCATGATAATTGATAGAAACTAAATCACTGGAGCATTTATGTCTTGTCAACTGAACACTAGGCGATGCTAATGTATTTTCATCTTGGCTTTACGCTGATACATTTTTCATTGACATCTTGATTATTACATTATTATATCTACATATACATCTATTATTAAAATATGTAACGTAAGGTTTTGAACTAAAGTTAATAAAAGTTATAATTTTTCCTTCCTCTTGATCCTCGGGGCCTCTGCCTCCTTCCCCTGCCAGCTCTCCTTGGTAGGTTTTAATACTATTATCATAAGTATTTTAGTACATCATAGTAGACTTACAATTTGCCGATTTACTGTCCTCAATTCGGCAGTAATGAGCTGCCTTTGCTGGTGCTGCAAAGGCAGCGCTGGGGCAGCAGAAATTACAGGAGGGCCTCCTCCAGGAGAGACAGCCAGAACCCCTCCAGGAGGGACTGCCAGAGCCCTCCACATTGTACTGCCAGAACCCCTGCAGGAGGGACTGCCAGAGCCTCTGCATCAGGGACTGTTAGAGCCCCTGCATCAGGGACTGCCAGAGCCCCTGCAGGAGGGACTGTGAGAGCCTCTCCAGAAGGCACTGCCAGAGCTCCACCAGGAAGGACTACAGGTACACCTCCAGGGGCAACTGCCACTGCCCCTCCAGGAGGGACAGCCTGAGCTCCTCAAGGAGGGGCTGCTGGAGCCTCTCCAGGAAGGATTGTTGGAGCTCCTCCATGAGGGATTACGGCTGGATCTCTTCTAGGAGGCAGAATAGAATCTCCTGCATCTTCCACTCTTTCTCTTCTAGCCGGATCAGGGCTTGGTGATCTACTTATACTACAAAAAAAACGATACATAAATGCATAAAGTATGTAAGGTAGAAATTTATAAACTGACTTGTTGCTTACACAAATCAGGAATTTTAAAAATGAATTTTAACTGATAAACTGTGGTGACAGTACAACTGTTATGAGCAGGAAATCAAATCAGGCATGGTGTCACATTTAATAGTTATGAAACAGGATATTATAGATCTACGTCATTATGAATAATTAATCATTAGCTATGAACTTCATTAGTATTTCAAAATGTGGTTTGTAAATGCACAAGTAGCCAAAATTAATATCTTGAAGAAGGGTTATTAGACTATTATGTATTGGATTCTTAAACATAGGTAACTAAGATTGATAAATGGAATGTTGATATAACTATAACAATAAGTAACAAATTAAGTTAAAAGTTTGGAAACAAGTAAATAAATATTTCTTTAAATAAACAAAGTGGGGTTGTCAAAAAATGAAAGAAACTAGGGGTTTGATTTCCATTACAATAATGATTATTAGTTCAATTAATAATAATAAAAGTTAATTAATATAAAAGAATTATTCATAAAAATTATTGAAAAATTTCAACCCTACTTTGCAGAATTTAATAAAGGAGTATGATTCCTTTAACATGATAAACTTTAGTGAAATAATGAGAGAACCCAACTGCTCAGTTCCAGCTTACATAAGTGTGGCGAGCCCAATAACAATTCTTAAGAATGTGACATCATGAGATAAAAATTTATATAAAGTGTTTAATACTAAAGACATGCATCCATGCTTTTAGATGAAAACCCAAACAAAAATTGTATACATTAATAATAATTTTATGGTAATGAATCATACAATATAAAAAATACAATAGCAAACTGATCACTTAAAGATTAGAAATTGTAATTGTGATGACAGTAATTTATTGATTGAATACTAGCTGAATATTATGATTTTTAGTTATCACAATAATTAATTTACATTATACTCATAGCAATGCATTGGGGCAATCACTAGAAAGAGGCATAAAATTAAATTAAATTTCAATTTATATTGTTGTCTTATTATTAGCATTTTCTGCAAAGTTGTGTTGAAATTTTTGTATTATTTTATGAATAATTATTTTTTATTAATTAACTTTTCTTATCATTAATTGAACTAATAATGAAAATCAACCTCCTTGTTTTTTCATTCTTTGACAATACTACCTATTTATTTTAAGAAAATTTTTTTATTTATTCTCTGTAGGACGGAGAAACTATGCTTAAATGTAACCTAGAAATTACACAAACCAAATTTAAAAATGCATCACCTGTATCATTTCCCGTAATGTGTGTGACGCATAAGATAGACTAAAAATCTATTCATGCTGTGGTGATTATGTTTGCTTAGGATCACAAATAATGATGAAGGTTAAGAGGTTACTTAGCAAAA